GTCAGTGTAGACCCAGACTCAGAGTTCAGATTCTTACTCCGGTCTGCGATTCACGGTCCAGGCAGGTGAGAGCCGGCTGTGTGGTCAGGTGGCAGGACGGTGACGCCACGAACTCCTGCTTTACAAAGTGTGTGAGCCTCTGCTCCTGCCAATTTGCAAACGTGGTGGTGACTGCACTGATAACTTCTGTCCCTTCGTCCGTCTGGGACAGGTGCTGCCCTCAGCCATCTCATGCTGGGTGGGATGCCCCTCTGTTACCCACCGGTGACTGCAGGCAATGCAAACAGATTTGTACACTTTACTCTGTACCCATCATGTTATTTTATTTTGTAGAGACTTTTATTAGCGTCTATTAATTGCACAAAGTAATGGGCCTCATCCCAACACTGCACACAGGGTATGTACTTCGATCACGTCACCCCACTTACCTTTTCTCACCCACCATCCATTTTCACATCCTTAAATTCCCCCTTTTACTTTCCTGTCCTTTCTGACCCTGAATTCCACATGAGAGAAAACTTGTCTTCCGAAGACTATCTTATGATTCATTCATTTATTTTGGCAGTGCTGGAGTTCAAACTCAGGGCTCCACACTTGCTGGGCAGTTGCTCTTTTTGTTTCAGTTTTTTTTTTTTTTCTGGCAGGGTCTCATGTTTTTGCCTGGGGCTGGCTTCAGACCTCAATCCTCCTACCCGGCCTAGCTGGGATCACAAGTGTACACTACTACTCCCAGCTCATTGGTTGAGATGGGGTCTTGCTAACTCTTTGCCTGGGCTGGCCTTGAACTGTGAGCCTCCTCTATCTCTCAAGTAGCTGGGATTACAGGCAGACTGGTTTATTGTGCTGAGCACCGTGATCTCCAGTTCCATCCATTTCCCTGCAAATGACATAATTTTCTTCTTTATGACTAAATAATACTCCATTGTGTACACATACCACTTTTTCTTTATTCAGTCATCTGTTGATGGGCACAGAGGCTGATCCCATATCATGGCCGTTGTGACTAGGGGTAACCATGAGCCCATTTTTAATGTATCATTTGGAGAGTTTTGTGACTGTGTATCTGAGTTACTACCACCTGAATTGAGATTTGGAAGATTTCCATCAACCTATAAATTTCCTCAATGATCTCTTGGTCAAATATTCCTGCATCCCCTTGTAAGTATTTCCCTAAAGCTAATCCCTAGAAGTGCAAATACTAAGGTGGCAAATTTAAAGTGTAGATAACTAGGCCGTGCATAGTGGCTCAAGCCTATAATCCCAGCTACTCGGGAGGTAGAGACCAGGATTGCAGTTCAAGGCCAGCCTGGGCAAAAAGTTAGTGAGACCCCCCCCCAACTCCATCAATAAGCTGAGCTTGGTGAAGCCTGCCTGCGATCCCAGCCACGCAGGAGGCCATAGGTAGTGAGAGTGAAAGTTGGGAGGTAGAACATGGTCAGGTGGAACAGGAAAACTTACCAAGGACACAGAGGTGAGATAAACAGATGTGGGAGTCTGGGGAGGCTTGAAACTCTCTCCCAGGTCTTGAAACTACTGAGGCGCATGGGTGGTGAGCTATGCCCTGATAGGATGCCCAGATGGTGCACTGGACCTCAGGACCATTGATCAGGGAAAGAGGGACACGCACAGTGTCCCCAGGAACACACTGGCTGGTGATGACGTACATCTCCTAAATGGACCCATAGCACAGAGACACACCCAGCTTATCTTCAACCAGGAAATAAAATCCTTATAAAAACCCCTAACAGACAGCCTTGGGGGCTTTTCTACTCCTTCCTTCGCTGCTTAAATGAAACTCTGCTCTTTTGCTCCCCATTTGTGACTTTCCTTCTTTGATGGCAGGAGACAAAGTTCCTGACTACAGCACACTTGAGACCAGACTGCTGCGAAAGTAGGAGGGTTAGTCCCAGGTAACACTGGAGACCCTATCCACAAAATAACTGAAGTGAAAAGGGCTGGTGGCGTGGCTAAGGACCACAAAGACCCCTAAACAAGATTGGGACATCTTTGGGAACTCATTGTCCTTCCTTCCCGTAAAGTCCTGGTCCTGATTATGCGAGTCTGTGCAAGTCACTGTCTCTCTGAGTCTGTCTCTGCCCCGTTTCTGGGGACAAAGCAGAGGCAGCGGTGAGGAGGGAGTGAGACTGTCCCGTTAGCAGGAGGACAGATTTGCTCATCCTGCACTGGGGCGCACAGGAAAGCACACAGCCTATTTTTCCTACCATCCATTTGGCCTTCTTCATGGTGGCTTCATCCCTAGGTAGCCCGAAGAGAGAGATGCAAAGTTGCTGGCCCTGGCCGTGCAGCTGAGGGGTTGTGCTTCCTTATGGCGCTGCTCTGGGGACTCTGTCCACAGCTGGTTGCTGGACATGGAACCCCATGGGTGGGTAGAATTGTTGGGGTCCTCCCCCCTGCTCCCCACGCCAGATTCTTCTGTCCAGGTCTACAACTCACCTCATGGAGCCACACCCTCCAGCTGGCAACCTCATTCACTCAAACTCTTCCCAAAGTCCTGCACCTTGACCACTCACGTGTGCAAACCTGCCTCTGACCATGCGTTAGTTCCTGTGACATGAGTGGGGACCTGGTTACTAGGGTAACCAGGTGTGGAACAAAGGTCTCAGATTTTGACTTTTAAGTCTACTTAATGGCTTTCTGGCTCTGTTCTTGGCTCACTTCTTTTTTGTGCACACCCTTCCACTTCTGTCCAAGGTTGCAAAAATGATACTGCTAATTTTGTTATCCTTTCAGCATTTATTAAATAAATTCTTCTGTTAAAAAAAAAATTCAGGCCAGGTATGGTGGCACGCACCATAATCCCTGCTCCTTATGAGGTGGAGATCATGAGGCCAGCATGGGTAAAAAGTTAGCAGGACCCCATCTCAATAAATAATCTGGGTGCGGTGGTGCATGCCTGCAATCTCAGCTATGTGGGAGGAATAGATAGGAGGATAGAGGTCCAGGCTGGCATGGGCAAAACTTTGAGACCCTATCTGGAAAATAACTAAAGCCAAAAAGGTTCCAAACAAGGCTCAAGTCTAGCAAGCACAAGGTCCTGAGTTCAAGACCCAGTACCAGCCAAAAAAATTAATATTAACAAATTTTCACCAGTAGTTTTGACTGCTTGTTGATCCTGAGGCACAGATCGTACAAGAAAAGTTGGGTTTAATTATTTCCTGTTTGTTGCTGTTAATTGCTGAGTTCCTGAGAAAGAGTCACTGCAGTGATGACCAATGGCTGCGTCATTGATCACAGTGAGTCCTCCCTCATCTCAGCTCTTCATGAGTTTAACCGTCCATCAAATGTTGAGAAGATATTGGTGGGAAGGACTGGAAAGACCCCTGCCCACTTTTGTGTAGCTTTGAGTCCCTTGTTTTGTTCTTAGGAACCTTGCTCCTCATGTATCTGTCACTTTGCAGGTGACTGACAACGACTTTTGTTTTTCCTTCCGGGGTTTAGGGTTGTGTTTTTCAGTTCCCTCAGCCACACAGTGAGCCCTGCATGGGTGGGGACAGTGGCTTATAGTGTTCGTCTCCTTGATTCTTATTTACATATCTGGCACAAGTTTGGCCCATCTAGAAGGGTCCTGTTAGGAGGTGTAGACTGAGTGGATGAGTACTTGGTGGGGTCACTTTTTCTTTGGCAACCTCAAGTCACAGCTTTTTCTTTTGTCTTTGTTCTGGAAAGAGCAATAGGACATTCTAACACCAGTTCTCTGACTGTCCTGTTCAGACAGTAACAGCCTGCAGTTGGTGCAGACCCCACAAGTTCGAGAGCAATCAGATCTCTTCAGACTGCAGCCACAAGCGGAGTCCCCCAGCTGCTGACACGCCTGCTCAACTTGGATACAAATTTGGTGGTTCCCATGACCCCCTCTTCACAGAACTCAGGAAAGCGTAAGTCTAACTTACAATCGCTGTTTTATTACAGAGGATATGAACGAACAACCAGAGGAAGAGTTGCTTAGTGTTGAAAGTCTGGGGTGGGGGGTACCGAGCGGGGGCACGTTCGTCCCCATGGGGGTGGAATGTGCTGTTTACCAACCAGGAGGGACCCCGGGCCCCACTGCCCAGGATGTTGATGGAGGTCTGATCATTTAGGGATTATGGGGTATGTGTCTCGTGATTGAATGCAACTCCAGCCCCTCTCCTCCCTGCAGGTTGGGGGTAGGGCAGAGTTTCAACCCTCCGATCACATGCATGGGTGTTCTGGCATGGCCGATCCCTCCCTTGAATCTGTAGGGTTCAGCACGAATCACATGTAGCTTATATAGTCAGGGGTGGCGGAAGGGGCCCATAGTGAATGCAAAAGACATTGCTCAGGAAATTCCAGGGGGGTTTGAGTCTTTGTGCCAGGAATGGGCACAAAGGCCAGGTATACTCTTTGCTGTGTCACAGCTGGGACAGGCACCAGAAATAAAACTGTAAGTGGACTGTGTGACCTTAAAACACTTAGACCTTCAAGTGTCTTGAAGCTCAGGTCTGAGAAGGAAACCTTTTGACTTGGCAAGATGATACTCCTGGGCTGATGAGAAGGAAAAGCCAACACACTAATGGTTCTCTTCCAAGCCTTTGGTGGGTCTGGGGGCATGGTCACTGCTGACCCCCACATTGGCAGGGACTGGGAGGGCTGGTGCACATGGTGGAGGGGGAGAGTCTGAGAGCAAGCTCAGAGTGATGGGAGCCTGGGTGCAAGTGCAGGGCTTCACTTTGGAGACACAGGGAAATTCCTTTTTAAGATTTGAAGTGAGAGAGGGGAGCTGATTTGAAAAGTACAGAGTGGTGGGCAGAATTAGGAGGCACCTGAGGCCAGGCAAGAGCAAATGCACTTAAAGGTGGGTCACTCACTCAAGGCATGTCCTCGTGAAAGACTTTGCACTCTTGTTGTTAAGAGTGGACCCAGAAAAAAAAAAGTTAAAAAGAGAGAGAAATAAATCTATACTTTCATGATCAAAAAAAAAAAAAAGAGAGAAGAAGAAGAAGAAAAAGAGTGGACCCAGGAAAGAGGGTGGGAACCAGCAAGGGGGAATTGAGTCTTTAGCAGCAATTGCCAGATGACCTCTAGAAGTTTCTTCTAATATTGCCAAATCAGGGTTGAATGACAGCTGACTGGGAATGTCTCATTGACAACAGGGTAGACTCTAGCTCCGCAACTTCCTGGTGTCTGCACTGTCTGGAAAGAAACAGATGGAAGAGGACACGGTTTCCTAAGCAGTGACAATTGTTGGTTAAAAGAATCTGGAAAAAAAAATTGGGAACTGTAGCTGGGAAGGAAACTGGCTAAAGACACAATTTGTGTACATACTGATAGTTCAGATCTTGATGTGCAGGGCTGACCATGTGGGTGACGCTGAGAGCACTTCTCTATAGCGGGGGGTTCTTATCTGGAGGCAATTTTGCTCAAGAGGACATAGGACAATTGTTCCATATTAATTGTCCTAACTGGGTAGCATCCAGTGGGTACAGACCTGGGACGGTGCTCATCCCTTCTACCAAGAGTCACCTGTCCCCAGATGTCAAGGCTGGAAAAAAACCTGCTTCTGGAGCAAGCACTTCTGAGATGGGGACTGGAGTGGGTTGTCTTAGCGCTCTTGGCTAGGGTTTCTGTTCTTTGTGGCTGAACTATTCCAAGGTGCTACAGCAGGGGGCATTCTTTGATTCTGGCCTGGTACAGGGCAGTCCACCTCCTTTAGATCAATCTTACTGGCACTCTCCATGGCTGTACGGGGTACCCAGACCCGTTTATGAAGCAGGAAGAGGAAAACCATTCCTTAGCTTCTTTTGCGAGAAGGTTCCAACACCAGCGGTCTCCTCCACCCACGTCGCCAGTGGGATCGGCTGGATCCAAGATCACAGGCCTACATGAGGGGTGAGAAGGCATTCAGGATTCTTTTCCAATAAGACAGACTCAGAATTTTCACCAATAAAAAATGTGTCCTTGTAGCTTTATGAGTAATTCAAATACAGTTCCAAGTAACTCCTGACACTAAGTTATATTTGTCAAAATTAATGTAAACGAATGTATCTATCTCCAGGAGACTAAGTTCTCCAACATACAATGTGTCATTGAATCAAATAACTGTTGCCAGCAGGAGGCAACCCATGCTGCCATCCAGGGCATCCTATTTTCTCTCCTCTGTTCTTTCTCAGTACTCCTTTATTTTCTCTCATTTCCTCTTGCTTCCATTGTTTTCCTTCCTGGTAGCTCTGAGCTGTGTTCTGAGATTCCTTACCATTTTGTAAGGTCCAAGAAGGCAGATAAAACACTAGTGATATATCAGCCTGAGAATAATAAATTATTTCAATTCAAGCCCCTCTTAGACCTGCTATTCCATCCATGTGTTTCCTCCTGCCAGAGAAAGAAGAAAGCAAGCAGGGAGCATGCATCTAGATCTGTCCTCTATGTCTTCTGGATGGCACTTTCTACCACCTCCCTAGGGTTTTACCCCTACAGACAGTGAGCAGTTCTGTTGGTTAGCACCTCACACCCCAAGTCTCACCCAAGGGATGAATCATGGCCCCCGGGAAGGAGAATCCAGGTCACCAAAAAAAGTGTGGAAGGGAATCAGGTTAATTAAGAAAAGAGGGATCTGGGGGAGGGCACCTGGTTTTCTGGATCTGGGTCAGTAGGAACTTCCTCATCAGCTCAACTTCAAAGTTGTAATTGACCGTCCAGAAGATGCAGAGCTGCTCATATTTTGTGACCAACTCCAGGACAGTCCGGAAACCTCCAGCAGTGTCAAAATTATTCATTCCACTCCCCTGCTCCCAGGCATAGATGGTCAGTAGCTCCAAGGCGTACTTTGGGGGCAGAGATGCCTTTGGTTTCAATTTCCTTTCACACTGAGGGAAGAACAGGGACATCAGATGACCTTAGTAAGGCAGAGGAGCCCAAGGAACTCTGAGAGTCACACAGACCACTGGGGCCACAATAGGGGAACTGAGTCACAATGCAATGCTGGCAGGCAGGTGCTCTGCACCCCAGAGGTCTAAGCCTGTATATCGGGCTCACAGGAGACCTGCAGCTAGCGATGCAGCAGACACAGATTTCTCTGTCATGTTTTTGATCATATACACCCCCGAGAAGGCGATGTAGCCGTGGTTGCTAGACACCCACTTCGTGCTGGTTACAGGCCCAGGTGTTCTATCTGCCCCATTCCTAATCCTACCAACAGGGGTATGATCTCCATTGTAGAGGAAGACCAGAGACTTGAGGGAGTGAAGTGACTTGCTCAAGGTCACACCAGAGCCCTCTGAGCAGTCATACCGTGGGGATGCTGGTCCCACCTGCACTTCAACCTGCTTTCCAAGAGGGCATTCCTGTCTGTTCATTGTGAGGGGAACCCACGGATGAGTCACACTTGTGGTGATCTTCCACCCACCCTTTGCAGGTGGGAGAACTTGGGATCCTGCTGAATCCTTTGGCCAGTGTGAGGACAAAATAAGGCACTGATGGTTGGAAGTCTTATGTACCTGGCCCAAACAGGTAGGATTGACAGTGGGAACTCCACAAAGACACCCAGGGTGAAGGAGCAGCCAAGCCTAGCAAGGGAGAATTCGGGTATACAAGGCACTTGGTGAGTGCTCGCTTTGTGGTGACATCTCACTGGTAAAAATAATAACCAGATTGCTAGAACAGTGACTGACATACCTGTTTGTACCAATGTTTCACCAGGCGAATCAAATCCTTCAGTTTAGTGGGCCGGGATTCAACGAAGTTGCGTTGTAGCTCTGTAAAGCAGGTAGAAAACTCTCCCCCCAGGACATCTGAGGATTTGTACAGACCAATGAGCTGTGCATAGGCCTGGGACTTGGACACAGCAGTCAGTTGACCTAGCATGGGGGAGATACTTATATTGTGTTTTAATGTATACTGTAAGCAACAGATTTCAAAACTTTTTTGACAAACATAATTGAATTTTGGGAAATTACTTTGAATGGTATTAGAATCCCTGCTGTAAAATAGAGAGAGTCCATCCTCAGAATAATCCGATATTTAAAAAAAAATTATATGGTCTATATGTGACAAGTGGTATTAGAGTCCAATACGGTGGTCACCAACCACTGTGGTTGTCTGCATTTGAATTAATTAAAAGGAGGTAACATTAAAATTTAGTTCCTTAGTTGTACCAGCCACATTTCAAACTCTTGGGAGATATAGAATACAAACATATAAAATTTTCATTACTGAAGAAATACCTTTTTGGACAATGCTTGCCTGGTATTTACAAACTGTGGTTGCTGGATTAAATCCAGCCCATCATTTGTTTTTGCAAATAAAGTTTTATTGGAACACAGCTATACCCATTTGTTCATGTGTTGTGTATGACTGTTTCCATACTACAATGGCAGAGTTGAGTAGTCATGATAAAAACCACACAGTCCTCAAAGCTGAAAGTATTTGCTATCTTGCCTTTTATATAAAAAAATAAAGTCTGCTCACCCTCATTCTATACTTTCTGAGAGATGCGAAGTGCCATTTAGAGACGTACTGGAAGTCTTTAAGAGTTTGCTTTGGAAAATGCCCCAACTAGCTCTGACTTCTTTCAACACCATTATGTACCTGTCACCCCCTGAACTGAAATTCTAAAGGAAATTTTTTGCCTAAACTTGAAGGGAACACCCAGATTTCCTGTGTTTTTGTCTTGCAATGCTTCCCACATTCTGTTCTGTAACTTCCTTCACCAATATGCGAGGCATTTTATCTGGAGTGTGTACAGAATTCTCCTGAACCCCACTCTCCGACATTGTGGGTCACATGGAGGTGGATAGGGAGGCTCTTGGCTGTCCTGGGTGCACAAAAGGAGAATGAGCTCACTCCTATGCAGGCATGCTGCATTCCCGCCATGCACCTGCTGGGGTTCTGCACCTTGGACACCACGCGTTTTTCATAGCCCATCACTAAGCCCTTGGATTTCCCTCCACCACTGCCCGCCATCACCTCCAGCATCCAGAATCTTCCTCCTGTAGATCTAGAGTCTCGAAGGCTTACCCAGTGCATTGAAGGCGGGCAGTACGTCAAAGTCAACACTTTCGTTGAGAGTTTTGGATTTCAAGGAGAAGCTTAGCACCCTGGGAGCCTTCCATTTCGAAACCTCAAACTTCACTTCAAGCTCCTTCTCCTGCTGACAGGCCTCCAGCTGTTTCTGGATCTCCTGGATGACTTGGCTCCGTTGCTCTTTTTGGGAGGTGTAACTCTTAAGGGAGTCAAGGAACACGATGATGTCAGCGTCAGAACCATTCTTCAGAGCTGTGCCTTTGGCGGCTGATCCCCCCTAGAACAAAAGGCAGGTTGACACTCAGCATTTCCTGGCAGGAGGCACTCACCCTATGGGCTGCCTGAGGATCACTAACTCCTTTGGAGTGACACCAGTTGGAGCTCATGAATGAGGCTGGGTGTAAGTTATCTGCGTCTCAAGTCAGTTTCCTAAAGATGTGTCCTAAAGAGTAGTCAGTGTTATTTGAATTCCCTTGACCTGAAAGGAATCAAACCCACTCCGTTCCCTGGAGTATCAGTTTCTTGCCATCATCTGGAGACCATCATATTCCTAACTGAGTCACAGGAGTGGGCAACCTGTCCATAATGAGCCTTGGTGGCTCTGTGGGTCACCAAGGTCTCTGCTACACAGGCTTCTCCACTAACTCCCTCCTTCTCCTCTGTTCAGTTTCCATAGAGGAAATGGATGCCTGGCTGCCCAGGTTAGGGATGAGGGTGTTGTATTTCCTGTATGAGATCCTTGATGCACCCTGCTCCCAACCCCTTCATTCTTGTGGCACATGTGAGACAGCCAAGCTTTGCTGACCCCTCCATGGATGCAGCCTCCTCTGGGTGGCACCTCCTGTCCTCAACAGATGACACCTTCCAGCTTGCAGCCAACTTTCAGAAGATAAGAAGCAATTTTTTTCTGTTTTTCTTTCTTCTTTCCCTTCCCTTCCCCTTTCCTCCCCTCCTCTCCTTTCTCATCTCTTCTCCATCTTTCTTTTTCTGTTTTTACTGTTGGAGGTGGAACCCAGGGCCTGGTGCATGCTAACCAAAGGCTCTACCATTGTCCTTCCTACTTTCTTTGAAGAATCTGGTCCTTTCCTTTGTTTGCTGTCACGTTAATGGGGTGTCAGGAAGGAGAGGAGAAAGCACAGGCTTTAGCCATGCTAACACCGGTCATGAACTCAGTCCTGCTTTGGTGGGCCAAGCTTAGTGAGAGTTTACTTGTCACTGATGGGACATCACTCTTGGATCAGCTGATGTGGTGAGCAGAGCTCTGTCACTGAAACATGAGAAGTGGTCATTTTCTAGTTTAGCACACACCAAGCTTGGATGGAATCTGCACTGCACCGAAAGGTGGCCTTCCCAAAGACATGTCTGCACCCTGCTTAAGGTTCTAATGGTAGCCAAGGGAACACCCAGCTCCCCTCTAGTGACACCCAAGAGGCCAGTACTTACCTTGACAACCTTCTGGACCTTGGTAGGTGAGTATCGAAAGCAATTTTCTTTAAGGAAATCACAGATAATGTTGACAGCACTGCGGACCTGCCCCAGGAAATCCTTGTTGGGCTGGAGAAAATCCTTGATGAACTTGTCCAGAAGATGGCTGGGGGTCATGAAGAGTGGTGCTGGCTGGGGGTTGGTAGAGACCAGGCATGAGACAACCTAGAAGCCAGCCCTACCTGTGCTGGGTCCTCTCTCCTGCTCCCAGCCTGTGGGCAGGCACAGCAGGCCCCTTCTTTGCCTTTGTTCCTTGAACCAGTATACCCCAAGAACAAACCTGAGAGTTTAGGGTGGTACCCAAGATCCCCTACAAAGTGAAAAGTACCCTAATTCCTCTCTTTATCTCTAGGAGAGCTCTGGATCCTTCTCCTGGAAGGACCCAGTGGTGGGGAGGGGTGGTCCTGGATACCCAGGTTGCTGATGCCTAAATTTATGTATGTGAACACATGTGTGAGTGTGTGTCACCATGCATGCAGGTGTGCACACATGTGTATGTTATGTGAGTGTGTGTGTGTGAATGTGTGTGCAGGTGTGAGTGTAGCTAGACTTCTCGTGCTCCTGGTTCTCCTGACCTAACTGGGGGTGACTGGAGATGCAGAAAGGACAAATGATAGAAGACAGACATGCAGAAAGCTGGGGCCAGGTGTGCTGGGTGCTCAGATGGAGACACACAAAAGCCTTGTTGCTTCATTACTTCTCTTCTTTTTCTCTGCTTCTTTTCTCTATCTTTAAAACCTTGCTTCTTAAGTCTTTCTTCTCTATTCTTTAAAACCTTACTTCTAAAGTCTTTCTTCTTTTCTGTTCTTTAAAGTCTCTTTCTGTAGACTTACACTGTCCCATGTTTCCTCTCATCTCTAGCATAACTCCGCAGCAGCAGCCTCACAAGAAGGCCACAGCCAGCCAATCAAAAATCCCCCACTCCATAAAAACCTTCCATCAATCCCCCATCAAAAAGCCTCCCATCCTCCTTCAGTGAGTCTTTTATATACAGAGGTAAACAGGAGGTGGAGCAGCAGTTCTCGGGAGGGCATGACACTGTAACAAGAGGAACCTGCCTTCCTGCTTCTCATGAGCTGCTCCCTGCATGTGAATGTGTGCACACGTGGGTGTGTGTGAACGCTCCAGTGCTCAGATCTGCTAATCCACTGCTCCTGGGTCTGGGGTTGCTAGCCCCTGTATGGAGGGGTGGTCTCACAGTCTGGAAGCCCAGGCCAATGGGGTAGAGGACACATGACCGAGGTGGAGATTGAAGAACGTATATGAGAGACTTGAGAACTAAACGCAGCGGGTACTCCTGGGCTGGAAAAAACTGGCAAAACCTGAAAATGAACTCCTTAGAGCATAATAACCTGAGTCCTAATCCACATCTGACCTTGGTTGGTGGTCATGGAAGAGTTCTTAGAGGTACATGTGAAATATTTCAGGATAAAGGAGTATCAGATGACTTGGGATTAGTGGAATGGCAATCGTGGTAACAATAACCAGTGATGCACACAAGGAATGGGAATGGAAGTGTGTACACACTTGGTACACGTTTACACATTTGCACATCTATGTGAAGGGCACACAGGAATTCATTAAACCTTTTTTGCAACTCTTGTATGTTTGCAGGCTTTTCAGAATAAAATGCAAGGGATAAATAATTTTCTAAAAAGTTGCTTTAGGAAGCCAGGACAGCTGGAGTGAGGAAGCAGAGACCAGACGCCAGTGAAGTCGGGGCAGGGGTGGGGACACAGAGACCACGGCTCAGTGCCAGGATCCTCTGGATTCTATAAGGTGCCTCACTTCCAGAACCCACCAAGTTTGGGAAGTGCCCCACATCTTCATTTACATCCAGACTTTGCTCAGCTCGCGCTCAGCTTCTCTGCAAACAGAATGGAGAGCACGCCTTCTGTAATGTGCCAGTGTCTTGCGTCTTTAGGGGTGGGAGGGGGAGGCAGGCACCTGTTCACAGCTGGACTTTAAGGACTGTTTGCCCTACTTCTTGCTCACCTTCTGCACTCGCTGAATGGGGTCCACAGATGTGACCTCACCTGCTTCTCCTGGGCTCCCCTGCACTTCTGTCACCCCTGCTCACCTCATTTCACCAGAAAGTTCTGTTCTGTGGGCTCCCCCTTTCTCTTTGTTCCCTTTTTCATGTCACAGTCATTTTAGGGGCCCCTAATGGTGTGTGGAGTTGTGTCTCTCTAAGAGATGTTAGGGTTCTGGCTGGTGGCACCAGTGACAGTGATTTTATCTGGAAGTGGTTGTCTTTGCTGATGGAATCCAGTTAAGATGAGGTCATCAGCGGAGGGGCAATCCACTATGACTGTTGTTCTTAGAGAAAGAGAAGACAGACACCCAGACAGACTGTGCAGAAGGAAGACAGTGTGAAGGACATGTGACATGGAGGCAGAAGCTGGACTGATGCAGCCACAAGCCAAGGGATGCCAGCAGCCACCACAGCTGGCAGAGGTGTGGAAGTTCTTCCCAAGAGCCTCTGGAGAAAGCACAGCCCTGCCAGCACCTTGACTTTGCACTTTAGGATCAGAAAGGTGAGAGGATACATTTGTGTTGTTTTAAGTCACTCAGTTTGTGGTACTCAAGAAACCCACATATGGTCGTCTTGAGACAGTCAGGGTGTTGGGAAGACCCTCCCTGTGGCTTGAAACAAGAGCTGTCTTTGTTTTCCTTTCTTTCTTTTTGTGGCACTGGGGATTGAACCCAGGGCTTCATGCTTGCTAGGCAGGCTCTCTATCACTTGAGCCACGCCTCCAGTCCCCAAGCTATCTTTGTAAAAACCCTCTTTTAGAAGAAATTCAAATGGCCAAAAAACACATGAAAAAATGCTCACCATCTCTAGCAATAAAGGAAATGCAAATTAAAACCACACTAAGATTCCACCTCACCCCTGTTAGAATAGCCATCATCAGCAACACCACCAACAACAGGTGTTGGCGAGGATGCGGGGGAGAAAGGAACCCTCTTACACTGTTGGTGGGAATGTAAACTAGTAAAACCACTCTGGAAAAATATTTGGAGGCTACTTAAAAAGCTAGACATTGATCTACCATTTGATCCAGCAATACCACTCTTGGGGATATACCCAAAAGACTGTGACACAGGTTACTCCAGAGGCACCTGCACACCCATGTTTATTGCAGCACTATTCACAATAGCCAAGTCATGGAAACAGCCAAGATGCCCCACTACTGACGAATGGATTAAGAAAATGTGGTATCTATACACAATGGAATTTTATGCAGCCATGAAGAAGAACGAAATGTTATCATTTGCTGGTAAGTGGATGGAATTGGAGAACATCATTCTGAGTGAGGTTAGCCTGGCCCAAAAGACCAAAAATCATATGTTCTCTCTCATATGTGGACATTGGATCAAGGGCAAACACAACAATGGGATTGGACTTTGAGCACATGATAAAAGCGAGAGCACACAAGGGAGGGGTGAGGATAGGTAAGACACCTAAAAATTTAGCTAGCATTTGTTGTCCTTAATGCAGAGAAACTAAAGCGGATACCTTAAAAGCAACTGAGGCCAATAGGAGAAGGGGACCAGGAACTAGAGAAAAGGTGAGATCAAAAAGAATTAACCTAGAAGGTAACACACACACACAGGAAATTAATGTGAGTCAACTCCCTGTATAGCTATCCTTATCTCAACCAGGAACACTTGTTCCTTCCTATTATTGCTTATACTCTCTCTACAACAAAATTAGAGATAAGGGCAAAATAGTTTCTGCTGAGTATCGAGGGGGTGGGGGGGAGAGGGAGGGGGTGGAGTGGGTGGTAAGGGAGGGGGTGGGGGCAGGGGGGAGAAATGACCCAAGTCTTGTATGCACATATGAATAATAAAACAATAAAATAAAAAAATAAATAAAGTGCTTTTCTACACCTCAAAAAAAAAAAAAAAAAAAACCCTCTTTTACCAGAACGTTCCAGCGTGGTGCAGGCAACTCATTATTCAGGCTGGGGGAAGTCAGCCAGTGGCTGGCTTCCTCTTTCAGCTGTAGCCAAAATGAGTGGTCTCTACTCACATTATTGGTTGGGTCTGTGGGATCCAAGATGACTGGCCTGTGGATTCCATTAGATAAAAACAAGTCAGCTGCTGGAGGAGTGGCTCAAGTGGTAGAGTGCCTGCCTAGCAAGCGTGAGACCCTGAGTTCAAATCCCATGCTGCCAATTTAAAAAAAAGTTAAAATCAAATCAGTTGAGCTGGTTGTGGGGGAAGAAAGGAGGGGTTTGTGTGTGTGTGTGTGGTACTGAGATTTGAACTCAGGGCCTTCACCTTGAGCCACTCCACTAGTCCTTTTTGGTGATGGGTGTTTTCAAGTTAGGGTCTTGTGAACTGTTTGCCTGGGCTGGCTATGACATACGATCCTCCTGATCTCTGCCTCCTGAGTAGCTAGGATTACAGACGTGAGCCACTGGTGCATGGCTAAGAAACGAGTTTTGAGGAAAGAGGTCTCAAACAAAACCTGGGAGCCTGGGTTTTGATCCCTGTGGCTCCTGCGAGGCGCTGAGGGGCTCTGTGTAAGATGCCTCTCCAGCCTGTTGCTCGGAGATGTGCTGTTCTCCTCCCGCTAACCCTTCCCTTCTAGCCCCTTCCTTCTGCAGGACAGATGTGACCACAGTAGGGAAGATGAAAAGCACTCACGATACCTCCCCTTGCAGACAGACCCTCTGTCCCCCACCCACCATGCTGCCATTCTTTGGGTGCATTTCTGGCTCCCCAGGAAGGACTTTGACCTTCTCAGGGTGCAGGTGAAGAGATGGGGGCAGGGAATGGGAAGCTTGGCACCTTTGTGATCTGAGCTGGTACAGGAGAGTGTTCCTGATGGTCTCCACCTCAAAGTTGTAGTTAACTGTCCAATAGATACACAGCTGCTCCTGCTGCAGGATGAGCTGCAGGACGGTCCTGACGCCTGCAGCTATGTCAAAGGCTTCTGCATTACATCCCTGCTCCCAGGCGTACACCGTGAGCAGCTCCAGGGCATATGAAGATAGTGAGGAATCCCCCCATTTTTCCTGGCACTGTGAGAGAAGACAAGAGCAGTGTCCAATCTGGAGACCCACTTTCTCTTACGTCTGGGGTCTGAAATCAGGAAACCAGAGTCTCTCAGAAGTCCCTGTCCTGCACCAAAATGCCTGAATTCAATGGACCAGCAACATCAAATGTTGGCAAACGAACTTGTACACATTTCTCATGAGAGTGTACTTGTTTTTTCTTTTTGGTGGTACTGGGATTTGAATTCAGAGCCTCAAACTTGCTAGGCAAGTGCTCTACCACAGGAGCCACTCTACCAGCCCTATTTTGTGTTAGGTATTTTGGAGATAGAGGTCTCACAATCTATATGCCAGGGGCTGGCTTTGAACCTTGATCCTCCTGATCTCTGCCTCTTGCACAGTCAGGGTTTATAGGCGTGAGTCTTTGGTGTCCAGCAGGAGTGTACTTTTGTACCGTGGTTTTAGAAAACTATTTGGGGATATTTACTGAAGTTAAATAAATCTTTCCCACATCTACTTCATACAGAGTCCGCATGCATACAAGCATGTGTGTCTGTTTGGGCACACATCCGTACATACAAATCAGAACCGGGCAATTGCAGTCCTGCAGATTTTACCCAAGAGAAAGGACTGCTGGAATTCACAAAAGACAGGTGGGACAGTGCCATGGTCACCCCACTCACAATAGCTCTGATTTGGAAGTGACTGAACAGCCCAGCAATGACAGGCAGGGTGTGTGCTGTGGCACACAAATCCAACAAAATACTACAGAAACTATGAACAGCTACCACTGTGGGTTACTACGGGTCACGATGTGGCTGGGTTATTATGGGTTATTATGTTGAGCAGAAGAAGGGACACCTGACGTGTGCACAGCACAAATTCGTTTACAGTGTTTAGTGATAAGCGAATCCCGTGAGTGGTGACAGAGGTTGGAAGGGAGGTTAGTTTGGGGTTACTGATGGGGGCAGCCTCTGGGACAGAGGAACCATTCCCTGTCGTGATTTGGGGTGGACAATGAGGATAAAGATTCTTGGAGCTGTGAACCCGAATGGAGCGTGACCAAATGTAAATTATCTCAATAAAAAAGAAGTAAATAGTTGCAAAGTACACAATTTGAAAAGTACCTGTTGAAGCCAGTACTTGAGGAGGAGGATCAAATCCTTCACTTTTCTGGGATACTTGCCAAAGAATTTCTGTTGCAGTTTCGTGAAGCACACGGAGAACTCACCCGGACTGGCCCTGGCCTCATCCAAGGAGCTTTTGAGCTGTCGGTAGATCCAAGGGCTGGGGCTTTCATTTACGCCTGATGGGAAAGAGAAGTGGGGATCTTGGTTCTTTTGTACACTGTCAGAGCTGGGGTAGGTCAATGGTGAAGGTCAGCAGCAGCTTGGTGGTACACATTGATTGCTTCATCTGTAAGAAGGCTGGTGCCCTCACGTGAAAGCTAACAGACAAGGCACTTGCCCTGCTAAGAACAAAACGGAGTCAACAGTCTAACAGGTATGGTTCGACCCACACTTAGATGAGCAGGACTGAATAGTGGAGAGACAAGGATGATCAGAAACAAGAAAGGATTGCTCCAAATCAGAATGGAAAGCTCAGTGGTAGAGCACTTGCCTAGAAAGCACAGGCCCATGGTTCAATTCCCAGCACCAGCTAAAACAAAACAGAATGGAAGAGGTGGTTTCTGCTTTTTTATTTCTTTTCTTTTTGAGTCAGGGTCATGCTACATAAGTCAAACTGGTCTTGAACTTGAGACCCTCCTGCCCCAGGCTCTCCTGAGTGCTGGGATTACAGGCATGCCTAATCACCCCATGACTGGCAGGGTGGTTTCCTTAAGCAACCAGGAGAAGGTGCCAGCTGGGTCCCTTGCAATGGATATGCACGGAATCCCTAGGCATGGTCCATAATGATAACCACACAGCTATCATTTATTGAGTGCTTATTGTATGTCCATCAAAACAGACAAGCCTTGCAAAACTCACGTGGTGAGTGCAATCATCAGGAAAGTCAGGGAATTGAGCCCTTCAGTATCAAAGGCTTATTCAACAGACAGTGATTTACAAAAGCTCTGCAGAGACCCAGAGTTGAAGGAAGCCTGCCTTGCCAGGTGGAAAAGATGAGCCAAATTAGTTAGGTCCATATTTAGTAAAGGAAGCAATTTATGAATTCCCCTGTTGAGTTAATTTTCTCAAAGGCAAAGCTTATTGCATCCTTGTGTGGCAGGGATCTTAATTTGGAATTTGCAGCGCTATCGCCATCTGGTGGCGGCTTCCAGGAACCACACGTGAGGCGAGTTGATTTCTTCTCCCACCACCCACCTAGTCGTTTCTAATCCGATCCTACAGTTGGAAACATGGGACCCAGATAAACAGTCAGGGCTGCCCACCTCCCAACCTGGTGCATTTTTTTTCTCTAAGCCGGGCCACCTTCCTGTGAATGCAAATCATCGGGGTGGGTATGCCTCCCCTTATCAGATGATGGTCTGTTTAACTGTTCTTCAAGGTCCCTTGTGACTGAGAAATTCCAAAAACTGAGGACAACGGAAGGCACCCTGGCCTGGAGGTTAGAAGACCTGGGCTTTGCTCAAGTTCTGTCAACAGCTGGTCCTGGGGCTGTGCACACCTTCATCTCCTGTTTCCCCACTTATTTAAGAAAGGGTTGAAATTCCATTATGGCTGGCATTCTTTAAATTTGTGGTTATGTGTGTGCCTTCACTTGAGATTACTGTAACTATGTCAAGTCTTATCCATCCACCTATCCAATCATCCATTTATCCATTTACCCACCCATCATCCATCCATCCACCCACCCATCATCCATCCATCCATCCATCCATCCATCATCCACCCATCCATCCATCCACCCATCCACCCATCCATCCATCCATCCATCCATCCACCCATCCATCCATCCATCCATCCATCCACCTATCCATCCACCCATCCACCCATCCTTCCATCCATCCATCCATCCACCCATCCATCCATCCATCCATCCACCCATCCATCCACCCATCCATCCATCCATCCATCCATCCATCTATCCCTCCATCCATCCACCATCCATCCACCCATCTATCCCTCCATCCATCCACCCATCATCCATCCATCCACTCATCCTCCTATCCATCCATCCATCCATCACCCATTCATCCATCCACCCAAATTCAAGAGTCTACAGCATTTTTTCCAAAGTCAATTAGGGGATGGGGAAAAAGTTCCTGAGAGGAGAGGAAGCCCAGGATGGGTCTATGGGCTCCCATTTTGGAACTCTCTCTCTCTCCCACCCTCAGCCTAGGGGACCCACATGTCTGTCAGGCACCTTCTTGGCCTTCCTTGCCCCCATCCCCCCCAGAAGCACTCACCCAGAGGGTTGAAGGCGGGGACCACCTTAAAGATCATCTGCTGTTTCCACCAGGACACTGAGATGAGGAGGCACTCTTGGAATCTCAGGATCTTCACCTGGTCGATCAGCAGGTAATTCTTCAGCTGCTGCTCAATGATATTGAGGATTTCCTGTTGGCTTTTCTTTTGATCCCGGAATTGTTGCAAGTGATCAAGGAAGAGGACGAGAACACCATCTGAGTGGCCTCTCAGGACTGTATCCCGGCCGTAGGAGCCACCCTGCCAGTGACAGAGTAGCAGATATGAGACTCTGGTCTCTGCATTTTTACCAACTCAAGCAAAAGCCAAAAAAAATGCCACCATCATCTTAAAATGGAGACTGGCACTTATGTGGTGATGCTCATAGTAGCATTTTTTCCTACTGGCCCCAAACTGAAGGCAACTCAAATGGCCACCAGAAGAAGATGGACAAATGTGGTTTATTCACACCATGGAATACTATACAGCAACAAAAACATAACTGGCTGCATGCATTAACAGAAACCTCATAACTGTGATGAGACAAAGAAACCACACTGCAAAGGGCACACAGTGCATGATGTCATTTATATGGAGTAACTGGTTTGCTTAGGAAATTGTGGGTTTTCTGAGATGTGGAAGTCCTGTATCCCAGGGAAGACCTCCAACTGAGTTGGTTGGTCACCTTACATTTATATGAAGTTAAAAATGCAGGCAAAATGAATCTCTACTGTGAGAAGTCGGGAGTGTGACTGCCTGGGGGTGGAGGCCCGGGGCTCTGAGGGGGGTTGTTTTCCAAGTGTCCTCTCCTTTAAGGGTCCCTTTGGTGGAGGCTGGGTCCTCACTGCGGCAATGGCATAGAGGTGTGAACCTTTACAAGGGGGGGGTCTCGTGGGGGGTCCTTTGTCGATTGGGACAGGGCCCTGCAGAGTGGCAGTGGAAGCTGTGTCTCTGGCTTCCTGGTTTGAGATGGGGCCTCTGTCCACATGCACTCCTGTCTCAGCGGAGCCTGCACGGTGCTATCTGGACTTCAAGCATCCAAGACCGTGAGCTGACTAAGCCTCTTTTCTCTCTAAAGTTGGCTTGCCTTGGGTATTTTGTTACAGCAGTGAAAAACAGACTAACACAGCGGTGTTGGGGTTTAGCCTCCCCAGTCCTAGGGCTCCCAGCATCACTGCTGCCCCACAGGTCTGCAGACCTTGGATTTGTCCCTCAGCTCCGAATGCTTCCAATGGACCAAGCCACCCCCAGCCTTGCAGTTCCTCCAGTCCTCTGTGACGTGGAGGACTGAGAACAATCCTAGCAGCTGGACATGGTGGCACATGCCTTAACAGGCGTCTGGGAGGCTGAGGGAGGAGGGTCACGAGTTCAAGACCAGCCTGGAGTACATAGTGAGACACTGTCTAAACAAAACAAAGCAAAGCAAAGCAAAACAAAAGGCTAAGGCTCAGAGGTAGAGCGTTTGCTTAGCATGTGCAAAGCCCGGGCTCCATTCCCAGTGAAATAAAAGAGGAGGAGGAGGTTGGGAAGGAGGAGGAAGGAATAAATTAATTTATTGAGCACAAAATACCTGTTGCCCCTGTGCTAAGGGCATTGCAGTTTGAGTTTTACAGAGCTGTGGAGTGGGCGCTATGCTAACCCCCCACTGTACAGACCCAGAGACAGAGGCACAGAGACGTCAAGCAGCCTGCCCGGGGTCACACAGCCAGGCAGGCGAGCCGGGCCTGTCCAGCAGCCCAGGACCTGGCACTTAAGCAGCAAGTGCTGGCCTCCGGGTCAGCTGTGGGGGCTCCCGACCCCGGGGCCACTCACCATGGCCATGCCCTGCACCACAGGGAACGTCAGGGAATTCATCAGGATGTCACAGATGGTGCTCACGATCGTGTGGACCTTCTTCTGGAATTCTCCATAGGGCTCCAGGTTATTCTGGATAAAGAATTCCAGCTCGTCCGCTGGCACCGAGGTCACCTGGGACCCCCAGTTCTCCATCGCTCCCTGCTGGCTGGTGGGCTGGCAGGAAGGGCAGCGCCTGCCTGGTAACTCGGGTCCTGGGGCCTCTGCTCGGCCCGGGGGAGCCGGGAAGTGGAAAGTCAAGTTCAGAGCCTTGCTCCGCCCCCAGCCTGCAAAGAGGAAACCGAAACTCAGGCTCAGAACCTTCCGTCTTGCGGCTGGCTGCCATGGACTCCAAGGGCTCCTGGGTCCCCCCTGCGGGCTGGGCACACCCTGGACGTGTGTGTCCTGAAAGCCACACCTGCCTCTTGGTGCCTCAGTTTCCCCACCTGTAGAATGGGGGGATGGTCCCTTTCTCACAGGGTTCATGAGGCAAACGCCTGCACAGAGCTTAGAAGAGGGCGCCCGTGTGACAATCGCCATGGAGAGCTGAGTGAGTGGGGTTTCACGCAGGGCAGAGGATGTCCTCTGAGCGCGTGGTCCTCCCTGTACCCAGAGCTCAGTCCCAGGGAAAGCAAGAAAAGTCCCAGTCAGCAAACGAAGACCAGAGGGGCCTGACCCACTGCAGGACACACGGCCAGGCAGGGACCAGGCCAGAAGCCTCTGGGGGAGCCCAGTTCCCACCGGGGTCGGGCTGCACTCCTCCCAGGGACGGCTGTAGGATCTTCTGAGGGACTTGCAGGACCCAGCACCGGGAAGCAGACATAGAGCTTCCGCCTCCAGAGCGGTGAAAACGAAACTCACACAGGCCTTGCTCAACAGTAATTCATTTGGAAGGAAAAATCCTGAAGGTGTGGGGGAGCCGGCCCTTTCACGCGGGGATAGTTAATTCTGTGTGTCAGCTTAGCCAAGCCAAGGAACCCAAATATGTGGTCAAATGTTCCAGGTCGTCCCGTGGAGATAGTTTTAGAGACAGCAAGCATTTAAATCAGTAGACTTTTCAGGAAAGCAGATTGCCTGCCAAATGTGGTGGGCCTTGTCCAATCAGATGAAGGCCTTATTTAAAAATACATACATACATACATACATAAATAAATAAAAAAGACCATTTCCCTACAGATGTTGCCCACAGACTGACTTTGGGCTGGTGAAGCTACCCTGCAGGTTTTGAGCTTGCCACAATCATGAGTCATTCTGTAAACAAATCTGTCTTAAAATAAATACAGTTACACCCAACTGGCTTTTTATCTGAACTCTGACAAATATATCTGCCCATTTCTGCCTTTTCCAACCTTTACCCCAGCACTGAGAGGTCAGCAGACTGGACAAGAGTCACGACATTCCTTTAGTAGATAAGAACAGGCGGTTCAGAGAGGTAGAGACATTTTCTCAAGGTCACACAGCTAGCAAGTCGTCTGACTAGCTTCTGACTCCACCATTGCCTGACTCCAAAGCCTGTGCTTATGTATTATTTTTTAAATTTTATTTTAAAATAATTTGAAATGCCAAGAATATCTGCAAGATGAATACAAAGAAGCCCTCTGAGTCTTATCCGAGGATATTTTACTACACCAACTACTCTTCGTTCATGTTGCTGGGTTTTTTTGTTTGTTTTTTTTTTTTTGCAGTACTGGGATTTGAACTCAGGGCCTTAAGTGTGCTAGGTAGGCGCTCTAATATTTAAGCCATGCCTCCAGCTCACGAGTATTTTTGGTGAGGAACAGGCATCTTGTCTGTGAGCCGCCTCGGCACACGTCCTCCCGAGAACAAGGACTCGGGCTCAGATAACACAGAACAACGACCCAGCCTACAGCTGATACAGAGTCAATGCCACAGCGTCTCAGCCCTTGTAAAATGATACGTGTTTAAGTAGAAATGTCACCCGTGCTCCAATACAATTTCTTTATGCATCTATTCACTTATGTATTTATTTGTTTAGAAACAAGTTCTTGAACTTGTGATCCTCCTGGCTCAGCCTCCCAAATACTATTATGTATAATAATCCCCCCCCCAAAAATCTAGGATCCTACACTGTATTTAATGGTTGTGTCATGGACGACTTCCTGGGGAGGCCACTGGGAAAGGGACGGTGACACTGTGTTGCGGAATGTCTTCTCGATGTCAGCTGAGTGGCTGAATAGAATGTGGTCTGTCCACACAGTGGAGTATTACTCAGTCATGAAAAGGAATCAATGGAATACAATGCTTTCCGATCCAAGCCTAGATCATGTCACCACAGTGTAACACACACGCAGCCGTCTCCCACTGTATACCGAGACATTTATTTATTATGCATTCTCTTTTTTGGGGGTACTGGGGGTTCAGCTCAGGGCTTCATGCTTGCTTAGGTAGGCACTCTATCACTTGAGCCACTCCACCAGCCATTTTGGCACTGGTTATTTTTGAGACAGGGTCTAGGCTTATTCCCTGAGTCTGCCTGACCAACAAGGTCCAGCCTAGTCCAGTCTCTGCCCAGCACACGGAAAGCACCCAGCACCCATTGCACTGGGGGACAGAAGGCAGGGGCTGCCCCTGGGCTACTGGCTTCACAATCAGACCCCAGGAGGCTGATGGGAGGTCAGGGAGCTGTGGTCCAGGCTGGGGACATGGGCACCGGCAGCCACAGCCAGGCGTGGGCTGCAGGGGCTTCTGAAACAGGTGCAGCGTGGGAAGGCAGGCCGCTAGGTGCCAAGGACACTGTGTCCACTCCAGGACCCATGTGACCACCTGAAGGTTGGATGAGGCAGCGGTCCATCCCCAGGGAGGAGCAGGAAGCAGAAGAGAGACCCTTGTGCAGGTCCAGGCCCTTGTCGGGCCTGAGGTCGGGAGCGCTGCCTGCCTGGGCCAGGTGGGTCTGGGTACTGGGGCCACAGAACGGGCTGGTGGCATTCGGGCAGGTCAGGAGACAAGAGAGGAACCTAGGACAAACTCCAGGATGCAAATCGGGCTGTGACATCAAGATGTGTCAGCTGGGGGAGGAACGGTGCAGAAAAGGCCCCTGCCACGGAAGGCATCCAACACGGGGTCCTGTGAAGGGGTCCATGTGGCCAGCGACCTGGACCCGCTCTCCTGCCCAGACACCGCTGACCAGTCACGACACTCCACCTACCTCCTCTCCTGCATCCACAGCACACATGGGTGACCAACGAGGACACGCTTCTCACCAAGGGTCCATCCCTCACAGTCCCTCAGAGCAGAGCTCGGGACGGCTGCGACCCACCACTGACTGTGGCTGACGCTGACGGTGACATGGAAACTCAGCTTCCCCTGCACAGAGCTTGGACGTGGGAGGAGGGGAGGCCACGGGGAGGCCGCGCAGGGAAGGCTGCTTTCTGGCTTGGAAGAAGGGAAGGTAGTTTGTTTGGGGGGGGCTGCTGCATGGGGTGCAGCTGTAGAGGTGGAGGACAGAGCCCAGGGGAGGTGGAGACGCAGACATCATAGAGTCCAGACCCCAGCATGTGTGCAACGGGGGGTGGGGGGGGCGGAAGCAAGTGTGTTTAATGAAGCTGGGGGAGCAGAGGGGGAGCAGGAGGTCAGACAGGAGGCTGGGGGGGAGCAATTCACTGAAGTGCACGTACACACCACACACACAGGCGTGCACACACGACACAGGTGTGTGCACACCATACACCACACACACAGGCGTGCACACCACACACACAGGCGTGCACACCACACACCACACACACAGGCGTGCACACCGCACACCACACACACAGGCGTGCACACCGCACACCACACACACAGGCGTGCACACCGCACACCACACACACAGGTGTGCACACCACACACACACAGGCGTGCACACCACACACACACAGGTGTGCACACCATACACCACACACACAGGCGTGCACACACCACACATACAGGTGTGCACACCATACACCACACACACAGGTGTGCACACTGCACACACACAGGTGTGCACACCATACACCACACACACAGGTGTGCACACCGCACACACACAGGTGTGCACACCACACACCACACACACAGGTGTGCACACACCACACACACAGGTGTGCACACCACACACCACACACACAGGCGTGCACACACCACACACACAGGTGTGCACACCACACACCACACACACAGGCGTGCACACACGACACAGGTGTGTGCACACCATACACCACACACACAGGCGTGCACACCATACACCACACACACAGGTGTGCACACCGCACACACAGGTGTGCACATACAACACAGGCATGCACACCCCCCCACACACAGGCGTGCACACCACACGCAGGCGTGCACACGCATGTATCCATACAAGACATGGTGCACACGTGTGCACACGCAGAAGCACACATACACACAGGGGTGCACACACAGACATTTATACGCACAGCTTCACACACACACACGCACAGACGGAGACGCGTGCACACAGGTGCATCTGGCAGGGTCTCCAAGTTGCCCCTTGCTGAGAGCTGCTGTCCACGGTCTGTCTGTCTAGTCTGAGCACTGATTTTTCTGGATTTCACACAGCAGCCTGGGGAGGAGGGCGGATGGGTGACAGGAGACGTTGGTCACCCACATTTCCTGCAGAAGCCCAGGCCACAGAAGTGGGGGTGCAGGGCCCTCTCCCCAGCATGCCACCCGGTACCCCGTTCCTCTCTCACCTTCACGGGCCACGGTGGGATGGGGGCGCCATCCCTGCCCGTGCAGCACAGGGCGGCCATGCAGGCCACCGCTTCTTTGGCGAGCAGGTCCCAGCGTGCATTGTGGCCCAAGTTGCCTGTGGGATCCGCTGGGTCCAAGATGATGGGTCTGAAATGCCACAAGGTGAGTCTTGTTCCTGGTGACATCCCTGTGTCCACCTGCAGCCCTGGTGGGACTGCTCTCCACCCTGGCCCAACGCTGTGCAGGGTTGGGGACAGCGCTCGGGGCTCCCCAGTGGCCCGGGCACACTTTCCATGGCAGAGTTAGGAAGGAAGTGACACCCACGAGGGTCACCCTCCCACGCTGCGCCCATGTGACGTCAGAACCCACCCGGGGCCCCGGCTCCCCCCTGCTGATCATCCCCAGCACGGTTGCACCTCCCTCCTGTCCTGTGTCCACGACCAGCCGACCGGCCACTCTCCCTAGCTGCGACTGGTCACCATGTCAGCGTCTTTTTAACACGTGGCTCTGTGTCACCACCAGCCTCTGACTTTCAGAGGGACCCAAAACTCCCGAGGGAGACATGCTTGTCACCTGGTGGGCTCACAGGTAGGGGAGCCAGATTTAAGGAGTGGAATTACTTAATAGCCAGTCAAATTTGAGTTTCAGGCAAATAATAAACACACTTTAAAAAAAAATAATTTTGAGGCAGGGTCTCCTGATGTAGACCAGGCTGGCCTAGAACCTGTGATCCTCCTGCCTCAGCCTCAGGGGTGCTGGGATTACAGGTGTGTGCCACCTGCCCAGCAAACTTTTTTTTTAAAGCATAAATATCTCCCAAGTCTTGCATGGGAGTTATTCAAACAGTTATTCAGTGTCAGTCTGACATGCAGTTGAACTTGGAGTCTTGCATTTCATCTAGCAACTGTCCCTGTCAGTGACCAGGAAGCACTGCTTGTCCCTGGGGTGCTAAGAAAGGAACTGGGTTCTAGAACGAGGACCAGCCTGTCTCCGCTCTGTCACTAGGAACAGCAGGGCGAGCGAGACCCTGGCTGTGAGGCTCTGGGACCCCAGGGGACAGGGTGGGGAGGGGACCGACCTGGGCTTCTGCAGCTGCAGCTTCAGGAAGTCCCTGACAGTCTCATCCTCAGTGCTGTAGTTGACCGTCCAGTAGACGCAGAGCTGGCGGTACTGGGTGACCAGTTCCAGGACGGTGCGGAAGCCGGTGGCCATGCTGAACTGCGAGTCCCGGCTGCCCTGCTCCCAGGCGTACACGGTCAGCAGCTCCAGCCCGTGCTGGGGGGGCAGGGGGCCTCTCCCCTTGGGCACCTTGTTGCACTGGGGGATGAGAAAGGAGACACGCAGGTCCACGTTGACAATGGCAGGGTGCAGGAGAGACCCTCGTGGAGCTGGCAAACTGACCCCCCAAGGTTTCTTCTTTGTTTTTAATGTGGCAGCACAGGGGTTTGAACTCAGGGCCTTGCACATGCTAGGCAGGCACTCTACCACTTGACCCACGCCCCTGGCCTTTTTTTTTTTTTTTTCCAGATAGGGTCTCGCCTTTTGGCCTGAGCCAAACTGGACCACAATCCTCTCTTATAGCTGGGATTATAAGAGGGACCACCATTCCCAGCTTTTTTGCTGAGACAGGGTCTTGCTAATTTTTTTTTCCCTGGACTGGCCTGGGACTACAAATCTCCCAATCTCCACCTCCCAAGTAGCTGGGATTACAGGTGTGAACTGCTGTGTCCGGCTCTCAAGTTGTTTACTGAGCGTCTATGCACACCTGCCAGATAGCCTGCCACACGTAAATCCCAGGGCACGGTTAGGTGACCTCTGCTCTGTAGATAAAATCCGAGAGCAGCCCTTCAGGTTCGGGGCCGGGCCGAGCGCTCAGGACACAGAGTCCAGGCCACGCTGGGTGAGGAGGACGTCCCCGTGCCACACCTGTCGGTGCCAGTGCTTCACCAGCCGGATGAGGCTCTTGAGCTTGGTGGGCCGCGTGGCGATGAAGTCGCGCTGCAGCTCGGTGAAGCAGGTGGAGAACTCGCCGGTGTTGCTGTAGCTGTGGATGAGGTCTGCGTAGACCTGAGGGTTGGGCCTAGAGCCGGGCACCAGCTGGCCTGTGTGGCAGGAGCAGGTCAGCGTCACCCCATTTCCCACGGAGTCCCCAGGGGCCCAGCTTCAAAGGACTTCTGGGTCCCCCCAAGAGGGCACTTCCCCAAGGGTGGCCTGGGACCCTGGGAGGACAGCAGGTGCTGTTCCAGTGCCTTCAATGCTCTCAGAGAGGACCGGTCACTGCAAAGCCTCTGAGCCACATGTGACACGGAGGTGACAACACCGTCCAGTGTTGCTGCATCGAGAGCCCGAGCCAACTCCCTCAGCCCCTGCTCCCTGGCCTGAGCCGCGGAACAGACTGTGACAAGTTTCTCTCTCTCTCCCTCTCTCTCTCTCTCTTTCTCTCTCTGTCTCTTTTGGGTGGTACTGGGACTAGGAGGTGCCCTACCACTTGAGCCACTCCCCCAGCCCTTTTTTGTGATGGGTTTTTTTCGAGATTGGGTCTTGAGAACTATTTTCCCCAGCTGGCTTTGAACCGGGATCCTCCTGATCTCTGCCTCCTGAGTAGCCGGGATTACAGGCGTGAGCACCAGCACCTGGCTTGTGATAAATTTCTGTGTGACTCTGTCCTTTGCTACTTTTCCAGAACTCCAGAACCAAATATATTTAGATACAGTCTTCTCACGCTGTGGGTTTACCTCCCAAACTCAGAACTGTACAAACGGGGAGATCTGTGTCTGGGTTTTGGTTTTGGTTTTGGTTTTTTTTGATCCTGGGGTTTGAACTCAGGGCCTTGCGCTTGCTAGGCAGGTGCTCTGCCACCAGCCCTTCTGCATCTGTTTTTTTCAGCACATTTTCCTTGGTGTCTGAAGAGCACCGGGCACAGAAAACACTTCAGACCCAGCCAGATGAAGACGCTGGGGCCAGGGGGGCAAGAAGGTGGAAGTACTGGGACTAGAACCCACTGTGGCCCAGACGTCATCTTTGTGTGAAGCAGGAAAAAATATCTTTTTCTCCACAGGCTGCAGGAGAGTTGTGACAGAGGTCTCCATCTACAACGCCTGTGATGTGAACGGGTGTGACCTGGTTGTGCAGTGCACGACCTCTACCACGGCCCACGTCCGCCCTGCCTCTGTTCTTCCCCTCCCGGGAACCCCACCTAGGGCGTCATACGCTGGCAGCACGTCAAAGTCCACGCTTTGGCCCAGCATGGTCTGAGATGTCAGGGAGAAATGCAGCACACGGGGATTCTCCCACTTGGAGAGCTCAAACTTGACCTCGAACTGCTGCTCCTGCTGACACGCCTCAAGCTGAGCCCGGATCTCAGAGATGATCTCTGCCCTCCTGCTTCCCTGATCGCTGAAGTGGCTGAAGCAGCTGAGAAACACCACGATGTCGGCGTCGGAGCAGCCTCGCAGAGCTGTGCCTTTGGCTAAGGAACCACCCTGGGGGAACAGGGCAGGTGGCTTAAGTCTGTTTGACTTCCCCTGGATTCTGAGTTAGTTAGAAACATGCTGTGTGACCTTGGGCAAGTCACTTAACCTCTCTGTGCTGCAACTTTAATATGGTATGTTTATAAGAATACCAAGAGGTCAATTTAAACCCTTGACAAATGGTTTGGGACTGGGGTTGGTCTGAGTGGTTTTTTTTTTTGGAGCTTTTAAAAAAATAATTGATGGCCAACTCCCATCCCTGAGTTCATCTCTCTTAAAAACCTCCGTGATTCTGGGGTGGAAGCAGGGTAGAAAACCAGGAGGCCAAGACACTGCCTCAAGTGTGATGGAGGAGAAAGGTGAGGATCAGAGAGGGAAAGCATTTGCCTGGGATCACACAGCACATCAGCAGGCCTGGGACCACTCAGTGGCCAACCTGGGCCACTTCAGCTGACCTGGGCCACTTTCTTCAGCTGACCTGGGCCACCCTGTGCCTCTCCAGTTGTTAACTGAAGCTGTGTCAAGTGTGTGGACAGTATGACTTTTTGTGCACGTCCAGCCTCCTTTCTACCTGGGATTGGCATCCTGTTTTTTTGGGGGACCCACTGTTCCTCCACTCACGAGTTCTATGTGGAGCCCGTGTGACCCAGGCTTGGTCAGATTTAGGCCCTGTGACTGGTCTGGGGACAGGTACATGACCCAAGCCAGGCTAGTGGGACTCAATTCCAAGATTCTCACTTGAAGTTTGAGAAAACAAAATTTGTTTTTTTTTTCTGGTGGCTTATGCCTGCCAAGGACTACCACAGAGGAAGGCCCTGTCCAATACATAAAGAGTACAGCAAATTTTGTAGATTTTATGGAAATTAGACTGTTCAGAGTCATCATGTTGTAAGAAAGAAAGGATAAAAAGAACAAAGTTGAGTCTTGGTAACCCAGCATGGGCTCCTGGATCGAGCCGTGCCCGCAGCTCGCTGTAGTCAGGGGCTTTCCAGTTACATCGGCCAACACAGCCACCTCTTCTAAGCTGGGTGTCACCAACAGCCTAGAGCCTTGCTGGGCTTATTTGGGCTTCTACTGCCCACCCATGCCCTTGTTCTGGCTCGTCTTCTATGCTTGGCCTTGTGCCAGCTGCTGCAATGGCTGGAGATGTAGGTCGGGTAGAGGTGTCTGACCCTGGCTGAGCTCTTGGGGACTCACCTTGACCACCTTGAGCACTTTGATAGGAGAGCCCCGGAAGCAGTTCTCCCTCAGGAAGGAGCAGATGGTGTTGACGGCCTTGTTCACCTGAGCCAGGAACTGGCGGTTGGGCTGCAGGAGCTCAGCAATGAACTTGTCCAGGTCCCCGGCCGGGGTCTGGTGAAGGAGGGCGGGCTGCGGAGAGAAGCCAGGTGAGGCCCACTGGAGCCAGGACTCCACAGAGCGCTGATGAGGCCAGGGTCGCGGCCCCACTGTCTCCCCTGGCCTGCTTTCCTTCTCAGCAGGCTGGTAGGTCCTGATGTAGCATCAGAGGGACCTGACCCCACCACTGACGAAAGCCTCAGTTTCCCATCTTTAAGTGGAGGCAATAACTTGGCCCATGTGTCACTGGATTGTCGTGAGTCCTAAGCACTGGTTAGGAGACCCCACTGCCAAATGGCAGACATGATGACATTTTATGTGATATGGTTTGTCTCCCAAAGATTCCAGTGTTGGAGGCTTGGTTCACAGGGTGGTGTGGCCTGGTGGGAGGTCCCTGGGTATGGCTTCTTGACTACAAGAGTGAGTCCAGCCTTGAATCCTGTCTCTGGAGGTGACCTGTTCCTCCCATGCACACTGCCACTGCTGTGATGTCATCTGCCACAGCATCCTCAACACAGCCAAGCTGATGCTGGCACCATGGCCTTGAAACTCCGGAACTATAAACAAAATAAACCTTTCTTCATAAAGCCAGCCAGCCTCAGGAATTTTGTCATAGTAACAAAACTGGACCAATACAATCTCCCTCTGGCAGCTGTAAGTGGCTTATGTCTTGACATTGGTTTCTCTGGAAGCAGAGCCTGAAATGGAACCTTGTGCTTGTGATAGTGTGGGGACACAATGCACAGGAGATAGGGAATAAGGGTGGCAGGACACAGTGGGGGGAGCCGAGAAAGCTGGGAATTCAGCCAGAGACAAACTTTTGCCTGAGTCCCTGGGTGGTTCAGGGGTGCGAATTGTATCAGAGTTGGTCCCACCTTGAGACAAAGGTGGACTTTTTGTACCCATGTGACACGCTGGGATGTGGCAACCTGTGCCTCTTGTGGAGGTCAACTCTCCAGAAAGGGGGCAGCTGTAACTGTCAACAGCCAGCACTCCCAGCACTAGGGATGTGTGCTTGACTGGCAGGGAAGGGTCCCTGGTGAGGGGCACAGCAGCCTTGGGCCCTGCCTCTTACCATCACATCCCATGGCTGCACAGGTGTCCCGTCTGCATTCATGAGGCAGGCCTGTGACTCCAGAGCTGCTGCTTCCTGAGCCAACAGCTCCCAGCTGCCCTGGCCCACATTCCAGGTAGGGTCAGCAGGGTCCAGGACCAGAGGCCTAGGGCAGGGTGGGTAGGCAGGTGGTTAGGAAGGTGGGAGTCAGTGAAGGGGCAGGTGGGAGGGAGGGACCAGGAAGGGATGTGGGGGCTGGAAAGTGTCAGGGCTACATGGCTGGCCCAATCTTCACCAAGTGCAGTCAAAGCAACCAACTGGGTGTCCTGGTCAGAAAGCTACTGGGTGTGCCCATAATTTGAGAAACAGCATTTTATTGTGCTTGTAAAACTGGCTCTGGTTTCCTTTAGGGCTGATGTGGTCACACTTCTTCATCACAATCCAGAGGCCAGCAGATTGGGGAACTGGACTGGTGATCCACAGCCCACCTGGGACCTCCCCCCCCCATACACTGATTCTAGGGTGACATGGGGAGAGGGAGGCTGGGCAGGCAAAGGGGTATTGGGTATGGACCTGGGCTTCCGAAGCTGGCCTAGAAGGTGTGTTTTCATATCGTGGTCCTCAATGCCATAGTTGACTGTCCAGTACACACACAGCTGCTGGTGCTTCTGGACAAGGCCCAAGACAGTCCGGAGGCCTTGGGCCATGTTGAAACGGTCTTTCCCACAGCCTTGCTCCCAGGCAAAGATGGTCAGGAGCTCCAGGGCATAGGCTGGGGGTAGAGAGGCACCGGCTGGTTCTTCTTCTTTGTTTTGAGCTACTACCTGTCACCAAGACCAAGCAAAGATCAGAGGACATGGGACCTACTGACTACAGAGCAAATCCCCAGGAAGGTTAAATACAGAAAGAATAGTGAGAAGGCATGGCTGGCACTTTTCAGGGGTTAAACTGAAGTCCAGAGATGGGTAGTGACTTGTCCAAGGTCACACATTGACTTGGTCTCTTGGAGGATCCCCTCAAGGAGGTTGTGGAGCTGTACAGGAATGGGGCTGCAGGGTGTCCATCTTGGTACCCCAGTTGACAGCAACAGGGACTCAATAAGTCCTGAACGTATAGGAGCACAGATGCAAGTTGGCATTCCGAGAAGTGCTCAGGAAGGGACCTGCAAAGGATGCTAGGGGTTCAGTCCAACTTGCAAGGAAGAGGGTGACAGGTGCAACAGTATTAGCAAGGGCTTGGAGGTGGGAAAGACTAGGGAAATCATCAAGAGTGTGAAGAAGGAGGAGAAACAGAGCAGCCAGACAGGTACATTTAATCCCAGCACGGGACATAAGGAATTTAGCGCTTGATGGAAGAAAATACAGTAACTTCCGGTTCTGGGCCGGAAGTGGAGATGGAGGAGGTGGTTCTTCCGCTTGGGATGACCAATGAGATGCAAAGGAGGGGAGAAGTCTGTGAAAGGGGGAAGCTGATTGGCTGAGGCAGTTGCCATGTCAGTCGCCACTTCCTGCGGGGAGCCAGGGGCACTCACGTGGCGGTACCAGTGCTTGACCAGCAGGATGAGGTTCTTGAGTTTGGCCGGGCGGCTGTTGACGAAGTTCCTCCGGAGCTCCGTGAAGCAGGCGGCGTGCTCGCCACCCCGGGAGCTGCTGCGGATCAGGGATGAGTAGACCTGGGGCTTGGGTTGGACACCAGCACCGAGCTGCCCTGTGGAAGTTTGGGACATTTGCGACCCTGAATGAAGACAGAGGTCTTCGTTAACCACCCATCATTAACGTTCACGGAGCTCGTTATTCATTAAAGTAATTAATTTCAGCATCATTTACAAAACAGCACGGACAGTAATTCACGATCACATTAAACAGCAATCAGGTTTCTCTGTTTAGTACCAACTGAACTGGGCACTTTTAAATAATTTTTGATATTCCCTCCAGGAACTCTGCACCTCATTAGCTGTGTAGGATAGAGGTGAAGGGAATGGTCTTTGGAGATGGACTGGCCGGGGTGGACACCAAGCTGTGTGATGTCGCTGCTTTGGTCCTCAGTTTCCTCATCTGTAAGCCATAAATAGCACCTGCCCTACTCAAATGAAATCTACACGAGAAAAGCAGCATGGCCCAGGAAGCATTCGCTTCTGCAGTTATTGAAGTTGTCATCTCCCCTGTGAGAGCACCAAGTCATCCAGAGGAAGCTGGAACTGAGGCCCAGCCCTGTCCTTCATAAGGCTGCCATCCACCAGCACAGAGAGGTTTCAAGAAAATTTGTTCTGGGTGGGGAAGAGGGGAGGAAAAGTCCCCCAGGAGAAGCAGAGGTCCTAATCCTAAGCTAGATGTGGGTGTGAAGTTCAAATTTACAGTGTGAACATGGTGGGGAAAACCCCAAGCTGTTAAATTAAGGTGCAAACTGGCCTGGTGACTTAGTGAGACACTTAAGGCCCAGCTTGAAGCAAAAGGAGGACTTGGTCCTCCGAGGGCTATTTCCGTAACTCCCAGCAAAAGAAACTTCCACAGGAAAAAAAAAAGTAAGAGTTCCATAAATGCTGTGGAGCTCACAGTAAAACTTTACAAAGCACAGGAGGAAAGAATCCACCAAGATCCACCAGGGGTGTCTCAGCCAGTAGGAAAATTACTGCTTTAAGAATCTGAGATAGCTGGGCGCCAGTGGCTCATGCCTGTAATCCTAGTTACTCAGGAGGTAAAGATCAGGAGGGTCGCAGTTCGAAGCCAGCCCAAGCAAATAGTTTGCGAGACCCTATCTTGAAAACACCTAACACAAAGGGGACCAGGAACTAGAGAAAAGGTTAGATCAAGAAGAACTAACCTAGAAGGTAACACACATGCACAGGAAAGCAATGCGAGTCAACTCCCTGTATAGCTATCCTTATCTCAACTA